AACCCATGTAGACTCTAAATCTAATCCAGCTGATCTATCAAGCCGAGGGTTATATCCTAAAGAATTGATTGACAACCGTTTGTGGTGCGGTCCAGAATGGCTGTCTAAGCCAAAGAATTTTTGGCCGAATACAGAAGACAATTTCGAGACCAATCTGGAATTGAAAGGTGTTTGCGTTAACTTTTCATATTTTTCTCAATATGATGATGTCTTAATCAAATCCCAGTCTTGTTTCTTACAAAACAAGAAACTTAACATCCCAGGAAGTGGTATTTGTAAAAAATAGACTGATTATTCTAGCTCAGAAGTTTGCATTTGCTGATACGTATAAGGCATTGCTTCAGAAAACTGAAATTCCGAAATCATCCACAATTCTCAATTTGAACCCATTTTTGGATGAAAAGGATATAATTCGTGCTCATGGTAGATTAGCTTATTCGAATACATTAACTTATGACGAGAAATTTCCCATTATTCTTCCATATAACTGTAACTTTTCCAAACTTTTAGTTCAGTTTACACATATCCTAAGCATTCATGGCGGCAATCAGTTGGTTTTACGTCTTGTCAGAATGTATTGGATACCGAAATTAAAAAATTTGGTTAAAACCACAATTCACAATTGCAAAATATGTATAATTCATAAAAAGAAAATCCAAAGCCAAATAATGAGCGCTCTTCCTCCTGAAAGAACAAGTTTCAGTCGTCCGTTTCATTGTACAGGCATAGATTTCGCAGGCCCATTCGAAATAAGAAATATTACTGGTAGAGGAAATAGAATTACAAAGAGCTATGTATGTGTCTGTATGTTTTTCTACAAAGGCAATTCATTTGGAAGCCGTTTCATCTTCATCTACTAGTACGTTTATCGCAGCATTTCATCGTTTCATATCTCGAAGAGGCTGTCCATTAAAGGTTTACTCTGACAATGGAAAAAATTTTGTCGGCACATCGAAAGAAATCGAAAGGAATTTCTTAAATTCCGCTCGTTCAGAAATTGAATCTAATTTTCTTCACCAGAACCTGACATGGCATTTCATTCCGCCTGGTGCACCACACATGGGAGGATTGTGGGAGGCAGGTGTGAAAAGTTTCAAGTCACACCTTAAAAAAGTATCTGCTCTACTCAAATTTACGTTCGAAGAGTTCTCCACTTTATTATCCAAAATTGAGGCATGTCTTAACTCACGCCCTATTTCTTCTATATCAGAGAATCCAAGTGATTTGAATCCTCTAACGCCAGGACATTTTGGCCTTACCTGGACCAATATTGGCCTTACCTGAACCATCAATCGATCCCACATTACAGACTAACTCTGTTATTAATCGACGGCAACGTGTTAAAGTTCTTCAACATCAATTTTGTCAACGATGCAAGAACGAATACCTTTCAGAACTTCATAAAAGAAATAAATGGAAATTCCCTGAAAAGAATATAGACATTGATTCCATTGTAGTTATTCGTGATGAAAATCTTCCTTCAAATGAATGGAGATTAGGTAGGGTAATCAAAGTATATCCAGGAAAAGATGAAAAAGTACGCATAGCTGAGGTTTATACACAAAAGGGTATCATAAAGAGGGCAATAGTTAAACTCGTTCTTCTTCCGACACAATAACAGAGTCCACTCTTCTCTTTGCCTTTTCTCTATTTTCCCATTTCTTTTATATTCATTTTCAGAATACCTAGGATTGTAAAAAACCGCAATTCCTTTAGAAAAGAAAATATGACATCCAAAAAGAAATTCCAATGTCGCCTATATAAAAGGCGCTTGTGCAAACGTTTTTTATCCATGGATGTCAACAAAAGAAGAATTACTGCCAGAAATTTACAATATTGCATTAACTGCTTAGCGCATCAACATTCACATGAAATTAGTTTTTCAAAAACCGGTTGTCATATCTGTAAACGCCATCACCATACTTTACTCCATATTAATAATGACCAGAGAACTCAACAATGTCTTCTCCAGTCCAGTGATAACTCGAACAACGTTATCCTATCTCAATCAGCCATAACAATCTTACCTACTGCGTTGGCAAAAATTTCATTGAATAATCGTCTACACCCAATACGTATTTTGTTTGACAGTGGATCAAGAATAAGTCGTATCTCTAAAGACATTGTTGCAAAACTTGGAATAAAAACAAAAAATGTCGATGGATCTTTAATTTCTAATGTCAAATTACGTTCTCAGTCTGATAAAACATATTCTATTATGGTAATAGCTCATGTGGATAACCGCATTACGATGAAAACGCCCACAAAATCCCTATCTACAACGATGCGAGAAAAATTCACAAACTTAGATTTAGCCGATCCTACATTTTATGAATCTAATTCTGTATCTATGGTAATGGGGTCGGATTTTTACCCAAAGGTGATTCGAAATGGAATTTTACCTAATCTTGATGGATTGGCTGTGGCACAAAATTCTTCGTTTGGATGGATCTTATCAGGAAATTGCACCATGTAATTAATATAAATTTAAAATAATATTGTTTATAACTATGTTATTCAATTGTAAATTACTTAATACATTAGCGGTTTTCACTCTTAGTTGTATATATAATACTCTATTATATTTACTCATACTTTTGACCAAAGTATATTAATAAAGTAGCGACATCTCTTGTTGTACAACAACATCTACAACAACCACATGTATTTTGTTTTTGGAATAATTTAAGATTGTGTCAAAATAAAATTTCCTTGAACAACAATGTGAACAAAACATAAATAAAAAATATTACTTTTAAGTTAAAAATATTAACGATTTAATTATATTATTATATATTATACAATTTATTACACTTTTAAACCACTTTAAAACCACTTTTAATTCACTTTTTCAACTTTTCACAAATTTTAACAAATAGCAAAACACAATTTAAAAATGGCGACGTAAACAATGCTAACAATTTTCAAAACAAACTTTGACAATTTGCTTCATTTATCTAGTTTAAAAAAAATAGTCAGCTGTTCAAGTGATGCTACTTTATTAATTTACTTTGCTTTTGACAATAAAGCGTGAGCACTTTTTTCATCTATTGTAAACTTATATAAACAGCTGATTATTGTTATTCCGCCAAAATGAAAAGAAATGAATTTAAATTAAAAAAATGCCTAAACAATCAGAAAAAAGTAAAATTATAGATTTTTTAGTGAAAAATGCTAACGATGAAATGGATATTGCAGATATAACCGACTACGAAGAAGGTATGTATTTTTTGTGTATAAAGCATATACCGGCGGATAGAGAGGCAGATAAAAAAAATCACCACTACACACACACTACTGGCATTTTTTTCAATGAAATTGCACTGAAAAAATATTTGGTTATTTTTAATTTTGGAGATTAAATTGCATTACTGTAAAATGCGAATATTTATAAACAAAATGTAATCAATGTACTTAAGAATGATAATTTCTTCACATAGAAACAACATTTCTAATTAAAATGTACAAAAAAAGTATGAAACAAGATGAACTTATTTACTTTCATTGTTATGCATTCTAGAAAATTATTTAGGGTGTACGTTGTTTTTGTAAATTATGCTCTTGCTTTTGCAAGTTGTTTTTGTTTTTTCAAGTTGTGTTTGCAATTTCTTTAACAAAGCGACATCAACCTGCTTTGTTGAATGCTGCCAAGCAACTAAATAAAATATTTGTATTTTTGATGCTCTTGTTTAGAGGTTCGTATGCGATCGTGTTGTGTACATGTAATTTGCCGAAAATCTTCGTTGTCAGAACAATACTAGCGCCGACGTCTGGTATAAAGTGATGAAGATTTAATTTTTTCTAGAAACTTGTGTCATAATATGAAAGACCATATTTTGGATGAACTTATCGAGGACGTAATTTTGTGTACATCCTACCGCCGAGGAGTTCTAAATGTGGTTCCAAAATCAATGAAATGGTCCCTGGATATTTTAACCCAACTCGACGATAATAGATTTTTGCAAATATTACGGGTTAGCCGAATTGAGTTTAATTCACTCGTTGAAATAATTTCTGAAGATCCAGAATTTAATCAACCCCATTCTTGCGAACAATTTCCAGTTGAGTACCAGTTAGCGATAGTCTTGTACAGGCTCGGGTCACCTGGTGAAGGGGCGAGTGTAAGAAAAATAGCAGCATTTTTTGGTGTAGGTGACGGCGGTACGATAGACAAAATTACCCGACGTATTTTTAAAGCATTTTTAAACCTACAGTCAAGGTACATATCCTGACCAAATATGGAAGAAAGAGCAGCAATTGTATCTAAAACCTACAACGAGCTTCCTTTTTGCATTGGATATGTGGATGGATCAGAAATTCCTCTGGTAGAAGCCCCTGTAATAAATGGAGTATCGTTTTTTTCCCGAACACACAAATACTCTATCAAAGTACAGTGTATTTGTGACAACAAACTGCGCATACGTCATGTCGTTGTAGGGAATCCTGGTAGTGTCCACGATGCTAAAATTTTTAAAAATTGTGATGTTTTCAAGGAACCCGAAAAATATTTTTCATTGCACCAATGGATAGCTGGAGACTCAGCTTATTCTTTATCATCTACTTTAATTACGCCCTACAGAATTAATTCGAATCAAATGGATGTTCAAAAACGGAAACAATTCAATAGACGGCACAGTAAATATAGAGTAAGAATAGAACATTGTTTTGGAATGTTAAAAAAAAAATTCAATAGTTTAAAAGGCTTAAAAATGCGAATTAATTCTTCTCAAAGCCATTTATTTTCTTGCCAATGGATTGTTGTATGCTGTATTTTACACAATATTCTATTAGATGGACCAGGAGTCCTAGAATTCAATCAATTGCATGAAATCGATGAGGCCAACGAGCAACAAGATGAAGAGGAGCAAGACACAAATTCAACAAATGCGAAATTTGAATTCAAAAGACAAGCAATTTATTCTTTATTATTTTAATAATTAACATAAAAACATTAATATATTTATATTAAATAAAATAAATTACTCCCGGTTTTGGGAAGCACATTTATACCGCATTTCTATTTCATATTTTTCCACTCTCTCTTTTTTTTCCAGCTCCAAAATACGCAATCGTTCGTCCTTTTCTATTTCAATTTTTTTTAATTCTAATTTTTCTTTCTTTTCTTTTATTTCTTCTTCCATTTCTATTTTTTCTGTGTTAGTTTTTCCTTTCGCTCATTTACTTCCTCTTCAAACTGCTTTTCCTTCAGTTCAAATTCTTTCTTAAATTTTTCTTTTTCAAATTAAATTTTTAATTTTAGAAAGGAATTTCTTTCACTTTGGATCAATGAAAGTTGATCTATAGCGTTTTTTGGTGCAGCTCTTTTTAATTTTGCTGCAAATTCTTGCACTGCTTTATTTTTATTCTGCAAACCAGTGTTTCCATTAGTTTCTGTAGGTGAAGATGGTTCGTTTAAAGCTGAAGTCTGTGAACATGACGATGAAGGTTGCATGTCGGCGGATTCACCTTCTATGTCTACAGAACCTGTATATTGTATGACTGGGATTGAGCAGTATTCTTCTAGATTTGCAAACCCACAAAAGTCTATTTGGTCATCTAATGTGCTTTCAGTGACTGGAGTGCTATTAAGCCCAATATTAGTAGAAATCGCACTGTCATATATTTCAAAGGGGAATTCGGGTGTTTTATTCCCAAAAATGTTGTGCAATTCGTCGTAAAATCGACACATCTTCCTTAATTTATCTAAAAAGAAAAATATTTCAATTAACGATGAACATACATAATTAGCAAAACGATTACTTACCTTGTACTGATGAGACGCCTTCATCGGCTTCAAGCAAACCTGCTCCGGTCGACTTTCTCCAAGTCTCAGCTTTGTTATAATTTGATTTAAGATTTTTGACTTTCCATCGGACAATGTCCCAACATGCATCTAACTCTGTTACTTGCAAAAACTTTCTGTAAAATATTTGGGCTGTGGGCTTCTAAAATATTTACAGATGTAATTAAAATTTCAATAAAAGCACACATTTTTTAAACTTACTTCAAAATCTTGTCGTTCTTGCAGATATTCTAATAATTGCTTTATTTCGGCATCAGTCCATCTTTTATTGTTTAGTTTTTCACGTTTTCTTTTTATTTGTACATTTGTATTTGCACTCATTTTTGTTTTTTAATATTTAGCGAACAATTTATAACAAAAAAATCAAATCTAAAATATTTTGGCGGATAGACGATCAGCTGTTTAGTTTTTTTAGTTTAGTTTTATATTTATCAAGCTTATATACTAGACCTTTTTTCATGGTAACTCTAATACAGCGTTGTATATTTGAAATAAGTGCATTTTGTTGTTGCGTTGATGTAAATAGTATTATTTATAATATACCTACCATACCCTACAAGAACAGTGACAGTCATTTGATAGGTCATTTGACTGGCACTACTGATGTATTATTTCTATCACAGCGTAAAGCAAAGTTTCTATCAGTTTCTTAAGGCAAATGGACAAAAGTGATGGAAACATTTGTGTACATGTGATTTTTCTTCTCCCTTGCACTTATGAATTCTATCGACTTTAAAACATATATTTGGGCTCCTCACTCTTTTGTTGTTTACTAACCAAGGATGACATAAATATTAGTCAGGATTGACTGATCATGCTTGATGGATATATCCATCACAGTTAACAAATTAAAAATGATGTATTTATCGGTCATTGTTGACTAATCATATGTGATGAATATATCCGTCAAATGTGACGGCTATACCAATTTATAATAAAACACAATTTATTATTATTATAAGATATATATTTGTTAATTTTATTAATATAATAAGCATGTACATAAATTAACAATCATTTCACCATTTTACATACCTCGCAGGATCTTAAATCCGCTGATGCTCCTTTTAATTTGTGGAAATAAGTTGTCTGTAAGAAATACATATAAATATCGAAATATAAAAATTAAAAGTAAGTAATCATGTTACCATAGATTGATTAAGCTCCGAAGTGTTTATCTTCAGCTCCACTTCCTGCACTATTTTTAAATTCTGTTTATAATAATTCTCTTTATTTTCAATAATTTATAGACTTTGTAAATTTTGAGATTTTTCGCTTCATGATCTTTGGCTTTTACAGAAATAATTAATTTATAACGTCGAAATATATAACTCTAAAACACAGTACAGTCAAATGTAGTTGTTTCACTCTTTCATATGCAAATGAAACCCTTTACCACACATTGGGTACATTAACAGTCATTTTACCGGTCATTTGACTGTCATTATTGATGGAATTATCCATTAACTATTTTTTTTTAGCAATTTTATAAAAAATATGTTGCAAGAGTGTTAGTGAAATCATTTTGTATGTGTTAGTTTCGGTCATACATTTCTTGTAGGGTAGTTAACATGGATACAAGGGTACTTTACTACCAAGAGTGAAAACCGCTATTATATTTTGAAGTGTATTATAACTTTCTTAAATATTAGTAAATTTTGCATTTGTACTATGAAATGAATTATAATACTGAATTATATAGTACAAAATTTTATACTTATGTTCACATATTTTCTAATTTTTGATGATACCCATCAAGGGGCCCGGAATGTTAACGTTAAACCTGAATTATTGAATTATATTTAAATCAAAATTGTTAACCTGAATTAAATTGTATTTGAAATACAGATAGCGTTGTTTATATATTTGTAGTTATTAAAATATAGTTTAAGTTACGATATTTACCCTTTACTCAAATTGGTTTGTTAAATAAAATTCATTCCCTTTTAGACATATGATTCCCTACACAAATTACGACTATTAAATGTAACTCATTTTCAATAATAAAGCATTTATGTATGTTGAATCTTACATAGGTTCCAAATAATGTCTGTTCATTTACGGTTGTATGCTGGGTAGGAGAAATAAAAGACCGATTCCAATAATTTTCATCAGCCTTCGTTATTGGATCCAGAGAAGAATATGTAACAAATTTTTGTGAAAATTTCGAGCTGTAGCGTACACACAAGGTTTACACGGACACAAAGACGGACATAGCTTAATCGAATCAGAAAATGATTCTGAACCTACTGGTATACTTAAGGACAAACATTTCTGAGTGTTACAAACAATAGCACATTGTGCCGATTTTTGGATAGATAGTAGTATATTAAACGTAGTTAAGAGATAAAACGCCCAAATCGGAAGATACGGTTTTACGGGAATTATGTTTATATAAAACTTATTCGTGCTAAATTTCATCGTGATACTAGTGTTTATACCTTCCATTTTATTTATTACTTTACATAAGATTGCTAATATGTAGTGTACTCAATAATATATAAATGTATGGGACAATGAGGGGATCTCAAGTAAACCAACTTTTAGTAAAATAATCTACATAATTTTCACACAAATTTAAAAAAATTAAATATTTTGCTAATGAACATATATATATTTCTGGTTTAAAGTTTTCAAATTTCTTTTTGTGTTCATCAAGAAATAAAACTACAAATTTTCAAATATGTATGGAATGTGTATTTACTTGAAGTCCCATTCTGAAATTTTTGTATTTTGTTGAGAACACATAAGCTCTTTTTGGTGAAGGAATACATAAAATGGAAGACGCCGTTTTCATGAAATCTTTGACTCAAAAACAGTTTTTAAAATCATTATCCTTATTTTTAAACTATAATATTTTAAATTATGTTAGACTACAAGACATAGGCTTTTATTAGAGACTGTTTATTCCTCCTCCATTTTTGTATTTTTATACCTTCCATCACCATCAGTGATGATTCTTGATCCTTATGAAATTCTGAGTCGATTTAGCTATGTCCGTCTGTCTGTCTGTGTAAAACACGCTCACGTTAAAACGAAGCAATAGAAATTCAAGAAATTCACCCAAAATATTCTTTATTATTCGGTACAGTTTGGTATTGAAAATCAGTAAAATCGGTTGAGGACGTAAAAAGTTATGAGAAAAAATTTCAGACTACCTCGAAAAAATTACGTTTTTTCCAATTCTTAAGTATTTTTCTCAGAAACTACCAAAGATATTTCGATGAATTTTATCACACATTATTTTTTGGTGCCAGGGATCAAGTATCTTCAAACTCATAACAATTGATCCAATATTTCCCATAGCCCCCATACACAGGTGTATATTCCCGGAAATTAGTTTATCGTTAATAACTCCCTCAAATATATCGGTATCAACACAAAATTTTGTACATATGTTTGTGTATAGATAAATCATTATATTAAAATGTTTGCAACTGGTCTATTAATATAAAATGTTATGAACCTAATCAAAATTAGTTCCTCATATGCATAAATGTTAATACCCTCGCTACGGAAACAAAAATTTTGTCAAGTTATCTAAAAATTAGATAATTAAACGGGTTTTAATAAAAATTAGCTTGCTACTTGTTAAATTTAATTTAACTTGTTAAATTTAATTTTTCCTGAGGAGACTTTCAAAATACATATTTTGAATTTTTAACAAATCCACTTAAAAAATCAAATGCACAAATTCTAAAAAGGTTACAAAATAATAAATAAATATGTACACACATACATACATACATACATACATACATACATACATACATATTTATGTATGTACATATGTAGATTGTATAGGCTTATATTGGTGGATTTGCTTTTATATATTTATGTATGTTCATAAAGGTATGTAATACTTTGTGGTGGTAGTTTTCATATTCGACTATGGGAAAAAGGGAAAAATAAGACTTAAGAAATAATACTTGATTTTACCAACACAAATGTAGCTGCTCGTACCCATAAAAATCGAAATAAGAACATACACACCTTTAAAGGAACACGCAGTAAACACCCTTATTTTATAATGGCGTCATTTTGGTATCATATTATACATATGTACATACATCCATACATATGTACATATGTATTATTTATTCAAAAACTTTGTAAGATTTACATGTAAGAAGTTTTTAATATACTTAGCACCGTGCATCTGCCATTTGCTCATATGAAAAAATCGATAATAAGAAAGCGTCATTTTGCTTTCGTATTACAGTCAAACTCGCTTATAACGAACGAATCCTCCAATAAAACGAACTAATTTTTCAGTCCCTCAAGTATAATTTCATACAATTATCATTTTTTAAAACGAACTTTAAAATTATGAGTTGAAATCATAAGAATATATTTAGCTTTGTTGGAAACAACTTAAATTTGTTAGGAAATATATGAACAAATAACACTAAAGAATATTAAATAAATTTATAGTTAATATTCTTTAAATTTCGCAAAATGCCGCTTTATTTTTGGAACTACAAAAACTTCATCCGTCGAACTTCGATTATATCGACCAAGTTCCCCGGAGTTCGTTATAAACTGATTTGACTGTATATTATTTATTTCAAGAATTACACTGTGCAACAACCATTTGGACATATGAATAATTTGAATGAATAAATTTGACACTACACATATAGAGCCTCATTTGACCCTCGCCACTATACTCCTAGCTCCCTTCGAAATTTGACTTAAATGTACACAACTTTATTCAACAAAAAATGGCTAAAATATATCTGAGACAAGGTACCATTCAACTTAAATGCTTTATTATGAACACTACATCACATTTTATTTTTATAACTGGTGCAGGGTATTATATGGCCGGCAGGGATGGCAAAATTGGTACGATCGTACTTTTTTTGATACTATTTGATGTTCAAAAATACCGTGATACTCCCGAGTCTTATTTGATACTCTCAAATTATCTTTAAAACAATGTATCATATTATTCAAATTTAAAATTACAAGAATGCTTTGGCACATATTTACAAATAATTCTCAAAAATGCATCAACTAAAAGTTCTAGAAAAAACGGCTAATAAAATTATAGAGTAATGGAATTCTCTTCAATATTACCAGAATTTAAAAGATCTACTTTTAAAACGACTTTTTTAGAAGTATGTTTTGCAAATTACCAATGCAGCTCATTGTACTTATTTTTGGCGTCATAAAATAACTCCCCACGAAATAACTCCCCAAAACAAAAATGAAATAAGTCCTCAAATTTGGGGACTTATTTCATTATGAAATAATTCCCCAATTTAAAAATGAAAAAAAGCCCCAACGAAATGAAATAACTTCCTAAATTAAAATGAAAT